GCGAAGATTTCAGCTTGGAAAACACTACAATTACTATCCAGCTTGTAGGTCAACTCAAGGCCTAGCCTTTCACAGTAGACGCCTGCCCCAGTACCTTCTTCCATCTTGGATCCGTCTGTATAGAAGGCCAGACCGTCCAGAGGAGGGTTACTTCTTTTCCAGTCGTCTCTACTAGGGATAACGACATCTACATCGTCGAATCTAAGGATTGGTGATATATAGTCGCTTAGTTTAGCACGTTGGTCCAATGCTATACCTGGTTCGTTTAGAACACTACTATGTCCAAAGGTACAGTTCCGCCAGAGTTTTTGTTCGTGTAGCCTTAAGGCGCTACGCGCAGCCTGACACTTAATGCTGAGGCCCAGGGGCTTGAAGTACAGCATTGCGTTCAGAGCTGCTTGTGGCGTACTCCTTCTGGCTCCTGTAACTAAAATTGCGGCAGCTCTTTGTACCTTGTCTAGTTTACTAGATGTCGACTTGAGGCTCAGACAATTCCACCAAACAAGAGAGCCATAGGACAAGATGGGCTTCACCACAGTGTTATACAACCAGTGTATCGTCGATGGTTTAAGCCCCCAGCTTTTCCCAATAGAGTTCTTGCATGCATAGAGTGCAATCCTTCCTCTCTTCGCCCGCTCCTCAACGTTCCTTTTCCATCGTAGTTGACAGTCCAGGATTGTGCCGAGGTACTTTGCTTCGGGAGATAGGTGAAGTTGCACCCCATCCAATGTTGGTGGAACAAAGACACCGAGCTTACGCTTCCTAGTAAACATTACCAGTTCCGTTTTCGTTGGATTTACACCAAGACCATTTGCCTTGGCCCAGCGTGACAGCGTCAGTAAGGCCCTTTGCATAAGCTCAGAGATTGTAGACGGAAATTTTCCGGAAATCAATATCACAACGTCGTCCGCGTAAGCTACAACTTTGATACATTCCCCGTCCAATTCCCTCAAAATGATATTAATTACCAGTAGCCATAGTAACGGTGAAAGCACCCCTCCTTGAGGCGTGCCTCTAGTTACTGTTTTCCTGATTCTTGTATCCCCCACACTTTATAATTCTGCCGTTAAGCATTTTATTTATCCAATATGTCAGAGTATCAGGAATGCCGACTTCCCTGAGTGAGTGGTTTATGGATTCAAGTTTAACGTTGTTGAAGGCTCCCTCTATATCTAAGAAGGCGTCCAGCGTAAAATTTGAGTTTTCCATGTTCCTCTCAATATATCCCACCACTTCGTGCAGTGCAGATTCCACAGACTTGCCCTTTATGTATGCGTGTTGTGAGTTGCTGAGAGAAGTGGTGTTAATACGACTCCTTATCTCCAGGTCGATCAGTCTTTCGAGAGTCTTGAGGAGAAAGGATGATAGGCTAATGGGTCTATAGTCTTTTGGTGCAGAGTGGCTTGGTTTCCCTGCTTTGGGAATATAAGTGACCTTTACCTCGTTCCATAGATCCGGAACACACGAGAGTTTCAGACACGCAGTGTAAATCTTCTCAAGGATCAGAAAAATACTTGGCGAGGCATATTGAAGCATCGCCGGAAGAATACCATCCGGTCCTGGCGATTTATACGGCTTAAATGTGTTGACCGCCCATCGTATCTTATTTCTGTTAACCACCCTGCTAATGTGATCCAGATCCGGGGTGGCAAAAGACCGAGTGTCATCACGATCACCGTCGATGGTACCCATGTCTTTGCAACCCGGGAAATGAGTCTCGGCTAGGAGATTAAGAGTCTCAGAACCTGAGTCCGTCCACACTCCATCTTGCTTCTTAATACTACCGATGGACTTCAGGTCCTTGGATAGTAGTTTTCGAAACCTAGCAGCGTCGTTGACCCCTTCTATCGACTCACAGAAATTTACCCATGACTTTTTCTTCGCGCGTTTTATCTCACTCTTGTATTTATTGAAACTAACTCTGTAGGAGTTCCAATCAGTGTCGAGTTTAGACTTATGCGCCCTGTTATACAGTCGTCTGGTCGCTTTCCTGAGCTCACCAAGTTCTTTGTTCCACCACACTGGCCGAGATTTCTTCCCAGGATGTGTGAGCGGACAGGATTCCTTATGGCAACATAAGAGAACGTCCGTTAGATTTTTCACGGCCCCGTTGAGTTCCACAGCTGTTCCTAAGTTTGTGTTAAGAGTCAGCTGGGAGTTCGTTAGCCCCGTGAATTTCTCCCAGTTTGTTCTCCTTGGATTCCGATAAAGCTGTTGTCTATCTCCGTCAAAAGAGTATTCGAAGAGAATCTTTAAATGATCCGAGAAGGAACATTCATCAGATACCCTCCAGTTCCTGATGACGGAGTCGTCTAGATTTGAGAGGGTTAAGTCAATGACCTCCTCTCTACCCCTAACTTTAAAAGTCGGATCACTACCCATATTACATATACGTAAATCATAGGATAAAATGAAATCAAAAACGGACTCACCTCGTATGTTTGTGTCCTTGCTACCCCATTGAAAATGGTGAGCATTTGCGTCGCATCCTAAGATAACATTGCAGGTGCTCGTCATTTCATCGAGCATCTTCCGTACACATGTGCCTGGTGGGTCCCTCTCCTCAAAGGGCATATAGACTGAGGAGAGCAGGGTGGCCTTCCCCGTCTTGTGCTCCAGCCTCACAGTGCACATGTCACCATTGCTGTAATTAGACAGAAAGATTAAATTTAAGCTCTTCCTACCTACTATGCATGTTCTCACCTTGTCCCCCGTGGACGTGGCGAAGATATCAAAGTTGGCATTCCTTAGTCCAGAAACCATATTTTTATAAATATATGGCTCCTGAACTAAGGCAATGTCCACTTCCGAGTTCGTGAGGGACAGGAGTAGTTCGGCGGCTGCGGCCTTGCAATGATGTAGATTGATCTGCATTATGCGCAGCCTATGCCGCTTCCCCACTCCTACTGAGTTTCGGTGGATGTGTTCAGTCGAAACCGAACCCATCCTGAACCGAAGTTCAGTTTCCCCTCACGCTCCCTGAGATACTTCTCCCCTGGTGGGTCAACCGCCACTCTCGCCACCATACCACCATCCTCGTTACAGGGAGTTAGATTGACCACAATCCAACTCGATGTAGTGAGGCTGGGGTTTTGTAGCGCCAGCATCTTCAGCAAGAGCTCCTTATCCACAGAAGGTGGGGGAACCCAGGCCGAAAGGATCCGTCTTGTCGGGATTTCTGCTAGGGAGACCGCTGCAAGGTTAGCTCCTTCCCAGAGCGCGCCAAAGCCACTAACGGTTTCCACAAGGAAATCCTTGGATTTTTTGTTTAAACAGTTAATGACTTTGGCGCCCTTCTGCATGAAGGCACTACCAAACTGTCGGTCCCCTTGGTCCGTCCCGCAGACGATAGCCGACCGAAGGGCTCCTTCAAACAGCAACCAATGACTCTCACTGATTCTACCCTGAGGATCAGCTTTGTCTATGATTGCCACAAGAAGGTCTTCATCGGTGGCTACCTTAGTTGGTCTTTCATACGGCTTACGTTGTTGACTACGAGCCTTGGAGGTCGCCTTTCCAGAGGAGGTTGAAGCCTTCTCCGTACTCGGTCGTTTCTCTGCAGTTTGTAGTCCAACACAAGCCGCATAAGAGGTAGATGGATATACCAGACGAGAAGTCATCGTCTTCTTGGGTGAGGGTTGAGGACCCTCCGAGGAGCGGATACGCTTCACAGATTTATTCTGTGGGGCGACATCTGCTCTCCCAGGAGACGATGGTTCCTTCGCTGGTTTTCCCTTCTTCCTTTTTCGACCACTATTGGATCCAGCCAGCGCCTTTGCCTCCCCCTTGTCGTTAGGCGCAGAATCGGGTTTTGAGACAGAGCCCTCTGCAGGTTGATCACCCTTATGGGTGACATTCTGTTTGGGGATACTCTCAGAAACCTTTTCCTGTGCTTTCTTACTCGGGTTCGGATCAGCACTGGGCTTCGGGTCAGAAATCGGCTTAGCACCTTTGTCAGAGACAGTGGGCTTCGCCGATTCTACTACTTTTGTGCGAGCTGTGTTATTTGGGAGGGAGATCTTGTCCATCTCGAGTTCACGATGGAGAGCGTGAGGGTAAATTCACTCGAATTTCCTCACAAATCTCATCTTACCCTTGATGAGGTGAACCTCCCTCTCCGAGATCAAATTCGTGTCTCGCCCCACGAATTTGCGAAGATACGAAACAGCACGTTTGTAGTGCTTCACATCCGTCACTTCTCGGGCCTTCCCAACCTTCGAGCCACTGTCCGTTTCCGGGGGATCAACAGATTCCCCATCGTCGGACATCACCTCTGTAGCGGATTGCCTCTGAAGTCTGTCGGCAGGTGCAGACACAGGACCTGTTGAAGACAGACTGGAGGTCGGTTGGACAATAGGGTCCACATTTCCTTCATTGCTGCTATGGCCATCCCCCTGTGTAGACTTGGCTGGGATCACCGTGGTGTCCAGCTCATCATCAGTTAGGGTAAGATTTAATAGCAGCTCCTCCGGAAGAGTGTCCCCACATTGCTCTTCCGGTACCAGTTTGTCTAGCTGGTCGAAGAGTTCCTTACTTTGTTCCTCTAGACTATCGCGGATAGCGCGTAGAGTCCCGTGTAGGTCGTCCCCTCCCAGAACTGCAGTCCTGTCAGCCAAGGACTGATTTTCATCAGTCTTGACATTATCGTTAGCCAAATGAATTGCCGGTTCGTCAACGTTTTGTTTTGGAATTGATGCACTTGTAGCAGATACGGCTGTAGGTGCCAAGGCATCCACACCTAGAACAGCCGGATCACAATCGCTTGATCTCGACGACACGTGGCTTGTGACCTCACCAACGATTGCCGCCGGTACTGGGTTATTAACTCCCTGCACCGTAACTTTATTCTTTTTACTACGTTTTCCCATCTTAGTTAATTTATTTAAGGGCACTACCCCGATCCATTTTGGTCCACGGGGGATCCGAAGATCCCCAGGGTTTCCACAAGGCACAGAGAGAAGTTGATCTAGGATACCTAGGTCAGTTTCTCTCTGCACATCATGGAGACCCCCTTCCCATCCGCCACCCGGGAAGACGCGCCTAGTAGGAGATTGACAACTCCCCTAGGAACCGTATATGTATGTGTTTGTTAAAACAAATATACAAATTTGTCATTAAAAAAATAATTTCCCAAATTGTAAACAAAGGTTTCTTCTTTGCAAGTGTGCGGAAGCTGAATATAATCTCGAACGTTCATTATCTTCTGGAAACTGGCACATAAATGTAAGACCTGAATAATTATTAATTTCATTTAATATTAATTAATTTTTTTTTGGAAGCAATTAAGACCTCAACCTACAACGACGTTCAACATCATAAAAATGAAGATATGAACATTCATGTTACTAATTTTTTTGTTATTCTCGGTGTTTTTATACATCTTTAAGGTCTTATAAAAGAGACGACAGCGTTTATACAATTGATGGAAGTGTTCATAAAAAAGAACTGGTGGCTTTCTTTCAAAGGATCTGAAGGACTAACTGAAGGTTTTGTTTATATACCAGATAAACGTATAAAGGTCTTTATAGAAGAATTTGCGATCTTCTATAGACCAGTTGAAGGCAGTTTTCTTATATACGATATTTAGCTCACTCACAAAAGGTCTTATTCTAGTGATGTTTACATATTTTGAAATGTTTTGTACATTCTCCTTAAACCAAATTACACTGTCTCAAACAATTGTCCATACCCCATACAGTTGAAAATATATTTCATTATAATTTAAAAAAAAATATGTTTTTTAACCATATCAATTGTTTACTTTTTTATACAAAATACAAACAAAAAAGTCCAAAAATAAATTCAAAAATTTGTCCGTACGGCACAATCTAATATAACGAGTCTTTCATTTTTGTTGTTTTTATGAAATCGGATCATTGTCTATAGAGAAATATAGATTTCTCTAATATAACGGATCATTAATTTTTGAAGTTGAGGTAAAATTAGACAATTGTCCAGACTTGTAAAGTGGTTTGTCTGAATAGTGCGTTTTAAGAATTTTTTAATATGAGTTCAAGTAATAAAAATCATACTAAGATTCCTATTGCCATCAAAGAATTGATTATTAAACTGCACAATGAAGGCAAAAGCTATCTTGACATCGCTAAAAATATTTCTAGGCCAAAATCATCGGTACAATATGTGATACAAAATTATAAAAAAAAAACAAGTTCACTCTTAATTGCCCCAGGAAGAGGAGAAGAAAAAACATCGCGTTGCAGTTAAAGCACATAAAAGCAACAGAGAAGCACGGTGGTGGCTCGGTGATGGTGTGGGGAGCAATGGCAGCTGGAGGTGTGGGAAATCTCGTGTTTGTGGAAACCACGATGGACAAATGTGGGTATTTGAATATTTTAAAAGAAAATTTAAAAGGTAGTGCCACTAATTTGGGTATTTGAATATATTAAAAGTAAATTTAAAAGCTAGCGCCACTAATTTGGGTTTACCAGACGATTATCGATTCCTGCACGATAACGACCCAAAGCACACTTCCATGGTTGTGCGAGAATGGTGCTCTACAACGTCAAGGAAGTGGTATTTCATCCTCCCCAGAGCCCAGATTTAAATCCCATAGAACATCTATTTTTTTAGAAAAAAATTGGGCAACATAAAATAACTAATAAGAAAATGCTGAAAGATGTTATCGTTGAAGAATAGCGGGCTATTTGTGCAGAAACCACAGAAAAACTGGCCTTATCGATGAAAAATTGCTTAAGAGACGTAATCGCTGCTAAAGGATACCACACTAAATATAAAGGACATCATACATCAATATAATACACATTTCATTAATACATATGTACATTTTTTTATAGAGTACGGACAATTTTTTGAGTTGATATATTGAGCTATTTTTAAGTTTTTTGTTCCCCAGAGCCCAGATTTAAATCCCATAGAACATCTATGGGGTATTTGAGAAAAAAAATTGGGCAACATAAAATAACTAATAAGAAAATGCTGAAAAATGTTATCGTTCAAGAATGGCGGACTATTTGTGCAGAAACCACAGAAAAACTGGCCTTATCGATGGAAAATTGCTTAAGAGACGTAATCGCTGCTAAAGGATACCACACTAAATATAAAGGACATCATACATCAATATAATACACATTTCATTAATACATATGTACATTTTTTTATAGAGTACGGACAATTTTTTGATTGATATATTGAGCTATTTTTAAGTTTTTTGTTCCCCAGAGCCCAGATTTAAATCCCATAGAACATCTATGGGGTATTTGAGAAAAAAAATTGGGCAACATAAAATAACTAATAAGAAAATGCTGAAAGATGTTATCGTTGAAGAATAGCGGGCTATTTGTGCAGAAACCACAGAAAAACTGGCCTTATCGATGAAAAATTGCTTAAGAGACGTAATCGCTGCTAAAGGATACCACACTAAATATAAAGGACATCATACATCAATATAATACACATTTCATTAATACATATGTAAATTTTTTATGGAGTACGGACAATTTTTTGAGTTGATATATTGAAGTATTTTTAAGTTTTTTTGTTCAAAATAAAAGTGAATCTTTTTTTTTAATTTACTATTAATTGGCATTTTTATAACTACTTGCTGGGCTTTATAAAAAAAATTTACGACATTTAACTTGGGTAAGTATTTTTCGAATTATAATGAAATATATTTTCAGTTGTATGGAGTACGGACAATTGTTTGAGACAGTGTATAGGGGAGACTGGGACACCTTCGGCACTTTTTTAGAGCTCTATATCTCTATATATAACAACTTTATGGCTGATATAAAAAAGTAGTATATAGTACCAAAAAGATATAAAAAAATAGTATTAGTTAAAAAATTTTACAGTTTTGTAAAAAACGTCAAATTCGCCGAATGTGCCCCAACCCGGGGTAGCTTCGGCATTTGATGGGGCACATTCGGCACCATAGTCATAGCCGGGTAATTGTCATCACTATCAGTCTGGTTGAAATTCTAATCCTCTAAAGGCTCTAATTGGTTTTAATACGCCACACAATGTTTGAATTATAGGGTTTTTATTTTCTAGCGGCGGGAGTTTACATCTCAAGGTCGCACACACCATCAGAAATAGGGGTTTTCTATCGCATTTTCGTCAATACAAGCACGTTTGATCTTATATATGCAATTTCGAGCCATATTAAAGGATTAGTTTCAAAAACATTTTAAGGAAATAATATTGAACAATCTGTATATGGCCGAATGTGCCCCACTTTAAAATGCCGAATGCACCCCGAATGTACTTTTTATAGTTTTTTTTAATTTTTTCGATCAGATTTGTGAAAAAATTATATTTTAAATATTTTTATAATAATACACATCGTAGTTAACCACTTTTTAATAATATTGTCTTAAACATTTTAAAAGCTTTATACACGAAATACTTACGAAATGGAATTGAAATATTACAGAAACATCTATAAAAATACAAAAAACCTATGTGTCTAAATAAGCTTATTAGCTAGAATTTTTTTAGTTTAATTTCTACTGCTGCTGCTAATACTACGACATTTGCCCTATTCTCTCTGTCAATAACATTTTGTCTGTCTTAAACATTTTAAAAGTTTTATACACGAAATACTTACAAAATGGAATTAAAATATTACAGAAACATCTATAAATATACAAAAACCTATGTATCTAAATAAGCTTATTAGCTTGAAATTTCAAACTTTGTGTCAGTTATTTATTTCGATATTTGATACCTATGTATCGAAACTAGTAATGTACGGTGAGAGCTTCATATCGAAAACGCGATTGCCGAAGGTGCCCCAGTCTCCCCTATATATAATGAGCAGCAAAAGTCATGGTACCCCATACAAATAAAAAAAAATATTCAGTTATTACTCAAAAAATAATTTACAAAATTTAAAACATTTATTTTTATTTTGTGTATTTACTCCTATACTACAACAATGGAATATAATATTTCATTTAGTTGTTCCAACAAACCATAAAAAAATCAAGATCGTCTCAACTCCAAATTTTTGCACAGCATAGGTCATGGTACACCTGGGCAGAGCTGATATTACACATCATTTATGGGATAAAATCGTTTAGTAAAATAGTTTCCACCGCTAGAAAATAAAACCCTATAATTCAAACATTGTGTGGCGTATTAAAACCAAATAGAGCCTTTAGTCTGCTTTTCCACAGGCAGATTTTTAATTGGCAAATTTTTTGTTTTCTCTTTTGAAATTTTCGCTTGCTTTTCCATTAGTCTGCTTTTCCACAGGCAGATTTTTATTTGGCAAATTTTTTGTTTTTTCTTTTGAAATTTTCGCTTGCTTTTCCATTAGCAAATTTTTCTTTGCCAAATTTGCGAATCAAAATACAAAAGAAAGAAAATAAAAGTCAAAAGTGTTTGCATTTTAAAGATTTTTTTAATATATTTTTTTTTATTTTTATATATTCTATTATATAAATTGCAAAAATTAAAAATGTTTTTTTTATCTTTGTTGTATTAGTTCGGCTGTAGGCTTTTTAAAAGTAAAAATCGTTTCTAATTTTGATTTTTAATGTTTATTGTTTCCAATATTTCTATTGGATTCTCCAATCATCCTCAGGGAACTACAATTACATATATTTTAACAGATTTTGAAACAACAATAACAATATGTAAATAAACTTACTTGAAGAAAGTTATGTTTTCTTTAAGTCAACGTTCTTACTTCAACTAAAGTCTACCAGATTTGTATTTGTTTACTGTGTGTCTATAGATTTGAGCGCAGTTGTCTGTGTCGGTTTTATAATTGAGTCGAGTGTCAAGTGGAGTGTTGATTATGTGCAACATCTCAAGAGTAAACCTTTTTTGATAATTACTTTCTTGAGTTAGAATTTTTATGTCATTAAAATCTGGGGTATGTCCTGTTTTTGTGCAGTGTGCTGCAAGGGCTGTTTTTTGCTCTATGGGTTTGTACAGAGCTTTTTGATCCGATTTATGTGCGGATATTCTTGTCTTTAATTTTGTCTTAGTAGTGCCAACATATACCTTTTGGCATACGTTGGACTTGTCTCCCTTACATTTAATGCAGTATACTACGTTGGATTTCTCCTCGTCTTGTATTTTACTTTTTAATTTGCTGAAAAGATTATTCAGCGTGTTTGTAGTTTTAAATGCCAGCTCAAATTTTGTGTTGTCGTAAATGTTAGAATGTTTTAATCTTTCTGAAAACCCACGTGTATATGTCATAGTTTTGTAAATTTTCTCGCTGTTGTCGCTTGTTTTCTTTGTCTTTTCTTTTCTTGCTCGTATCATGAGATTGTCAATAGTTTTGTCCGGAAAATCATTTTTCTTCAGGATCTTCTTAATTATATTAATGTTTTTGTTGTGATAGTCTGGATGGCTTATGTCTAAAACCCTATTTATGAAATTGGAGGCAGTGTTGATTATTGTTCTTCTCGGATGTCTAGATGTAAAGTTAATCAGTCGTCCCGACGCTGTAGGTTTCTGGTACCAGTCAACTTTGAGATGGGGTCCTTTTCGTATCACTAGTGAATCCAGGTATGGCAATTGGTTGTTGCTTTCAAGTTCCATAGTAAATTGTATTTGAGAGTTGAATGAGTTCAAGATGTCCAAATTATCCTTTATTTCGTCTTTTTTCATGACTGTAAAAATGTCGTCCACATATTTGGTCAAAATCTTTGGGGAACAACTCTAGTTTAGTAAAAACGATCAAATTTTTCTGAAATTTTTCCCAGAGGTAGGTGTTTTTACCCTAATTATGGGGATATCTTTTTTTCTTGGGGGACGTACCCGGTTACCCGGTTATTTGACCCGGAAGTTCGGGTACGGGTACCCGGTTATATCCGGTTCTACGGATCCGGTTAATATAATATGGGTATCATTTTAAAGGTTATAAAAATACCTTTCCATTGAGTGGTAATATGATGGGGTTATCTCAAACCATTTTGGGGATATAGTCAAAAAACTGGGTTTTGGTCCCCGATTTTTTTGAAAAACTCCCTAAAAGTCGAACTTGGGTCCATTATAGTCCCTCTCCAAACAGAACCCAAATGATAGACCACAATTTGCCCTTTCCAAAATGGTGCGATATGTGGCTGTATCTGTTGTGTATCAAAAGATATGGGCCTTAGAACCCTATAAAAACAAGGAAAATCTTTCTACATGACAGAATCTCCTTTTAAATAGCATGGGGTTTTTTGGGTGACCGGCCTTCGGCCGGGGATTTAAGACTTTCTCCTATGGACAGATACCAACACCGGCTACGCGAAAGAAATTCCTTCTAAATAGAATGTTTTTTGTGTAGCCGGCCTTCGGCCGAAAATTTAAGACTTTCTCCTATGGACAGATGCCAACACCGGCTACGCGACAGAATCTCTTGTTAAATAGAATATTTTTTTTTGGGTGACCGGCCTTCGGCCGGGGATTTAAAACTTTCTCCTATGGGCAGATGCCAACACCGGCTAACGCGGCAGAAAATCCTTCTAAATAGAATATTTTTTTGTGTAGCCGGCCTTCGGCCGGGGATTTAAGACTTTCTCCTATGGACAGATACCAACACCGGCTACGCGACAGAATCTCTTGTTAAATGGAATATTTTTTTGGGTGACCGGCCTTCGGCCGGGGATTTAAGACTTTCACCTATGGACAGATGCCAACACCGGCTAACGCGGCAGAAAATCCTTCTAAATAGAATATTTTTTGTGTAGCCGGCCTTCGGCCGGGGATTTAAGACTTTCTCCTATGGACAGATACCAACACCGGCTACGCGACAGAATTTTCTTGTTTTTGTAGGGTTCTAAGGCCCATATCTTTTGATCCACAACAGATACAGCCACATATCGCACCATTTTGGAAAGGGCAAATTGTGGTCTATCATTTGAGTTTGGGTTAGAGAGGTACTATAATGGGCCCAAGTTCGACTTTTAGGGAGTTTTTCAAAAAAATCGGGGACCAAAACCCAGTTTTTTGACTATATCTCCAAAATGGTTTGAGATAACCCCATCATATTACCACTCAATGGAAAGGTATTTTTATAACCTTTAAAATGATACCCATATTATATTAACCGGATCCGTAGAACCTGATATAACCGGGTACCCGTACCCGAACTTCCGGGTCAAATAACCGGGTAACCGGGTACGTCCCCCAAGAAAAAAAGATATCCCCATAATTAGGCTAAAAATACCTACCTCTGGAAAAATTTTCAGAAAAATCTGATCGTTTTTACTAAACTAGAGTTAAGCCATCTTTGGTTTTGTGTACATTCTCTGAATTGATGAGTCCAGCAATTTCTCCATAACTATGTCAGCTATGACAGGGGAGGCTGGAGAGCCCATAGGCATACCTTTATTTTGTTTAAATATTTTGTCTCATATATGAAATATCTTGTGTCCTTTATACATAGCGTCAGAATTTCCATGAACAATTCTTTTGTCATAGATGTATATGTTTTAATTGTATCCCACTTATCTTCTATGGTGTTGAGAGCAAAATTTACTGGTATGCTAGGGAAAAGTGATTAAAAATTAAATTTCACTTGCACAAATTAAAGCAACAGGTTTGTAAACAAAAGCCGGCTGTGTGTCAGTAAAGCGAATATATTCAAAAGGAAATGTCAACAAAATTGTTTTCAACGAACAGAGCAAAGCAGAATTTGCGTGTACGGCAAATTCTGAACAGGCAAATTTTTGTTTTTCTTCCTCGCACCCCTCTCGCCTACAAACTCAGTATTTGCCGAATAAAAATTTGCCTGTGGAAAAGCAGACTTAGAGGATTAGAATTTCAACCAGACTGATAGCGATGACATTCGGCGAATTTGTCTTTTTTACAAAACTGTAAAGCGGTGTACACACTATCATTTTTGAATGACACTCTTGCTGAAATATCGGTTTGCTTGCCAGTGTGGCCGTTAATTTCGCTCAGTCATCAGGCAACCCAAAAAATTTATGGTTGCGTGACATTCAGATGTTGGATGTTTTTTGGTTCGATAATGTGAACGTAAAAAACGACAGTCAGACAATAAATTTCAACAATAACATGGACTCCGAAAACGAATTTTTAAAATAAATTCATATGTTGATATGAAATGCAACGGTGTCTCTGGGACATAACCAGTCCAGAGTACATGTCACGCGGCATTAAAATGAAATCGTATGGAGAACTGCTACATAAATTGAAAAATTATAAAAAAATTGTACTGTGGACGACGTGAAAAAGAAAATCAACACAATTCGTTAGTCCTACAGAAGGGAACTCAAAAAAATAATGCAGTCTGAAACTTCTGGAGCGGACAATATTTACCAGGCGAAGATTTGGTGGTTTGAGTCGTGCAAGTTTCTCCAGAGCTATGAGAAACCAATCGATAGCATATCAACACTGAGGAGCTGGTTCAGGGACTACGTCTGCAGTGTGCCAAGAACAAGAAACATGCCAACAATGGATATCGCCTGGAGAAACAAATGCGCTACAGCCGTACCAAGAAAATGCCTTTGGAATTCACCGCTGCCGATCGCATCTACTTCGATAAGTCCATCAATTTGGCTGCCTGCATGAAGGAGAATTTCCAAGATGAACTTGAATCGTTGGACTTCAGAACCAAAGCCGAAGAGGGGCGCATGGAAATCAACAACATTATTGCAAATGTAACACGCAACGAAATCCCCGAAATGTTAAATCCTTGTGATGTTACCTCCGACAATCAAATGGTTTAGGCTAATGCTGCTTATTTCAAGGTTCAATGGTCGGATAAATTCTATTCCAAAGATACAAAACAGGAGATTTTCTATACCACCCCTTGCCAGTATTCTTTCGTACCCATGAGGCATAAACATGGAGAATTTGGAATTGGTACCGATTCTACGCAAATTGGGCATAAACAATCTGTTTGAGCATATCGCCAACTTGAGTGGCTTCTCCACGGAAACAAGCTTTATGTTTGCCAAAATCAAGGTTGATGAGGAGGGCAGTACTGCTGCAGCAGCCACAGTTGTTTTCAGTTTCCGTTCAGCACGTGCCGCCGAACCAACCAAATTCGAATGTAATCATCCATTTATGTTCCTGATCTATGATAATACCGCCAAGGCTGTACTCTTCACAGGCATTTATCGTGATCCCAAAACACAAAAGTAGACATGCAAGGAGATTCTTTCACATTTGTCTGCCCTAGGACTTTTTTACTCGTCTCGTTTTCATTCTATTTGTTTGTTTTTTCTTCTTCTTTTAATTTAATTTCTACTACTGCTGCTAATACTACGACATTTGCCCTATTCTCTCTGTCAATTGTTTTATTTATAAAAAATGAGGACGTGCTTAATTTTCGTTTTATAAGTTTTATTTTTTAATATTTTATTATTTATTGTTTTGTTTATAATAATTACTTTTGTTTTATTTAATTTGTTTTTCTGCTTATTTCGAATAAATTATAATAATAATAACAACAAAGACCGTTAGGGTAATTTATACAACAACAAAATGAAAAAAAGGAGGTAGATACATGGTTCTTTTTGAAAACATGCACAGAATCACTTTCTGAGTAGATTTATGCATGTCCGTCGTCTGTTGATGTTAAATTGTAAATTAAGTACGGGTCAGATTTATGATCCGAATGACAATTTTGAGCGAATTGCATTTAAGCTGATATATCAAAAAAAAAAAAATCGCCCATAAAAATCCACATAATGGTCAACAACAATCACACAATAAAATTGTGAGACCGAGATTTCATTAAGAAACCAATAAAATTCGAAGCCTATTTTTGATTATTATTATTAAAAATTCACATCCAATTTTTTATCATCCATTTTTATTAATATATTTCGGCGTCTTATTAGCACAATTTATAAATTTGAATGTCGGTTTGAAAAAAGGCGTGAATGATAATATGACTGCTACAAAAGCGGTGTACACACTATCAGTTTTGACTGTCAGCTTTTTTTATCGATTACTGACTGTCCAACAACCATAAATATTTTTGTGGTTGCCTGATGAATGACAAACATGTGAGGCCACACTATCAAACAAGCAAAATTTGGGCAAGAGTGCCATTCAAAAATGCTAGTGTGTACGCCGCAAAACAACACAACAAAACTGTAACAACCGATAAGTTATCGAAACTGTCACTCAAAAATGATTGTGTGTACGGCGCTTAAAATTTTTTAACTAATACTATTTTTTATATCTTTTTGGTACTATTTTTTATAATTAAAGTCAGAGGACAATAATCAGCCATAAAGTTGTTATATATGTTGAATAAGTACTGAGATATAGAGCTCTAAAAAAAGTGCCGAAGGTGCCCCAGTCTCCCCTATACACTGTCTCAAACAATTGTCCGTACCCCATACAACTAAAAATATATTTCATTATAATTCGAAAAATACTTACCCAATTTGAATGTAGTAAAATTTTTTTAAAAAGCCCAACAAGTAGTTATAAAAATGCCAATAGTAAATTAAAAAAAGATTCACTTTTATTTTGAACAAAAAAACTTAAAAATACTTCAATATATCAACTCAAAAAATTGTCCGTACTCCATAAAAAATTTACATATGTATTAATGAAATGTGTATTATATTGATGTATGATGTCCTTAATATTTAGTGTGGTATCCTTTAGCAGCGATTACGTCTCTTAAGCAATTTTCCATCGATAAGGCCAGTTTTTCTGTGGTTTCTGCACAAATAGTCCGCCATTCTTGAACGATAACATTTTTCAGCATTTTCTTATTAGTTATTTTATGTTGCCCAATTTTTTTTTCTAAAATACCCCATAGATGTTCTATGGGATTTAAATCTGGGCTCTGGGGAGGATGAGATACCACTTCCTTAACGTTATAGAGCAGCCATTCTCGCACAACCATGGAAGTGTGCTTTGGGTCGTTATCGTGCAGGAATCGATAATCGTCTGGTAAACCCAAATTAGTGGCGCTAGCTTTTAAATTTTCTTTTAAAATATTCAAATACCCACATTTGTCCATCGTGGTTTCCACAAACGCGAGATTTCCCACACCTCCAGCTGCTATTGCTTTAACTGCAACGCGGTGTTTTCACTTCGCCACACAAAACGTCTTCCATCCGACCCAAAAATATTAAATTTACTTTCATCAGTAAATATAACTGTTTTCCAGAAGTCGTCAGGCTTGTTTACATATTTTTTGACATAGTCCAAACGCTGTTTTATATTCTTTTTTGAAATAAAAAAATATTTTGGTTATCGTACAGAAAGTTCCGTACCGTTTGTGCACTTAGAGTAACGTTTTCATCTTTTTTAACATTTTTAGCTATTTCCACAGCACTTGTTTTTGGTTCCAGATTAACCATCCGGTCGATCTTTCTTCCCAGTCGAGCATCTATCATTTTTTACGACCTCTTCCTGGGGCAATTAAGAGTGAACTTGTTTTTCATAATTTTGTATCACATATTGTACCGATGATTTTGGCTTAGAAATATTTTTAACGATGTCAAGATAGCTTTTGCCTTCATTGTGCAGTTTAATAATCAATTCTTTGATGGCAATAGGAATCTTAGTATGATTTTTATTACTTGAACTCATATTAAAAAATTCTAAAAACGCACTATTCAGACAAACCACTTTATAAGACTGGACAATTGTCTAATTCTACCTCAAGTTCAAAAATTAATGATCCGTTATATTAGAGAAATCTATATTTCTCTATAGACAATGATCCGATTTCATAAAAACAACAAAAATGAAAGACCCGTTATATCAGATTGTGCCGTACGGACAAATTTTTGAGTTTATTTTTTTGACTTTTTGTTTGTATTTTATTTAAAAAAATAAACAATTGATGTAGTTAAAAAAATGATTCTACTCGAATAGGGAAACTATTTTTTAAATTATAATGAAATATATTTGCAACTGTATGGGGTACGGACAATTGTTTGAGACAGTGTAATTTGGTTTAAGGAGAATGTACAAAACATTTCAAAATATGTAAACATCACTAGAATAAGACCTTTTGTGAGTGAGCTAAATATCGTATATAAGAAAACTGCCTTCAACTGGTCTATAGAAGATCGCAAATTCTTCTATAACGTGGTATATAAACAGGCCACCAGTTCTTTTTTATGAACCCTTCCATCAATTTTATAAACGCAGTCGTTTCTTTTATAAGACCATCAAGATGTATAAAAACACTGAAAATAACAAAAAAAATAGAAACATGAATGTTCATATCTTCATTTTTATGCTGTTGAACGTCGTCGTATGTTGAGGTCTTAATTGCTTCAAAAAAATTAATTAATATTAAATAAAATTAATAATTATTCAGGTCTTACATTTATGTGCCAGTTTCCAGAAGAGAACGTTCGATATTATTTTCAGCTTCCACACATTTGCAAAGAAGAAACATTTGTTTACAATTTGGGAAATTATTTTTTTAAATGACAAATTTGTATATTTGTTTTAACATACACATACATATAAGGTTTCTCGAATCCTTTTTGACAATGAAGGGTTGTCAAAATAAAAAAAAAAAATTGGTCATATGTGAGCATGAGGTTACTTTATTTGTTGTACCATGTATACGAACATGAAATGACAATTTTTTAAAACTATTTTTATATAAAATAAAAAGGAAGTATTGATAATATACACTAAAAAAATGGTCTGTTCCCGTACTGCAAAAATCTACTACTTGCTACTACGATAACGAATTTTCCTTTCTGATATCGTCAAAATAAAAAAAAAAAATTGGTCATATGTGAAGAAATAGTAAAATCGAGTAGAATCTTGCAGTATCGAAGAAAATAGTAAAATCGAGTAGAATCTTGCAGTACGGGAATTGACCAATTGTAAAGAACTTCATTACAAAATAAAATTTATTATTTTATTTTATTAAATATTTTTTAAAGAAAAAATTTGCAATATGGAAATGAAACAATGGAAATTCTAAAACAAGATCATAGGAATTAAGGTTATTTGAAAATCATATTTTTGTATTCAGTTACAAAATTTTCAGATTTAACAAAAGATATTTTTAAAGCACAATTTTAAGAAGCTTTGATTGACTTTCTAATCTATCCATTGCCTTGGTGATTTGTATCTTTTAGTTCAGATTTTTCAAACGAAAAAGCGTTATGGATTTGATTTTTTTTTTCAATTTTTACCGGAAGGTTAATGTTTTGGGTCAATTGCAAAAGATGGCGTTGCAAGTTAAGATTATAGTACATGTTTGGGCCGTTTAGAAAAACAAAACATGCTCTAGGGTACATATATTATTTAAAAATAATTGCAATGTTTTTTGGGATTTCCTCGTGAAATGGTATAAACCCATGATTTGGAATTTCGATTTTCATGCAGTTAACTCTATTAATTTTTACTTATGTAGCCGGCCAAATATTCTAATTCACATTCTTGAAGGAGGCCAAGGTCTCCAAAGTTTTCATCTGCAATTTGAAATATTTCTATTTTGAAATCCAATTCGTCGACTACGGTATCTTCAATTACCCCACAAGCCGCATGATTATTATATTCAATGTCTTATTGCATTTTTGGTGAATCCTCTTCGGTGCTATATATGTCCTTCAAATATCCGTAGAGCATGTGGAGTGCATTGCTGGACATTATTATCCTCTTTTGGAAAAACTCATTTGATTTTTTGTTGGAGAATATGGGTTGAGTCATGGTACAATTATTCAGGTGGCTTGTTATCCACAAGCCATTTAAAGATGAATTTTACAACACTGGTATTTGTAAAATGTTACAAATATGTCAAATAAACCGAACGACTTGTTGCATTTGTTTTTATTTATTCTGAGTTTATAGCCCACAATGTAGAGGCGTATTTTCTCTTTGACCATACCTTGTATAATTGTACCATGGGTTGAGCCATTAATTTTATTTCAAATTCACAATTCAAATGAAAATTTAAATGAACACTCATATGTATACACTTTTTACATGTACATACAATTGTCACAACGTTTTGGCAATGAAGGGTTGTCAAAATAAACCAAAATTTAATCATATGTGAGCATTAGATTACCTTCTTTATTGTATCATGGTGTAGCTATTTTCTCCGCTTTCGTATTATCGAGATTTAATTTTCTAATTATGTAACCAGATAAATACTCCAGACTCAACTTGCATACTTCCAATATTATCAATAAATT